TGATGTGCAACCTTTCCCCCCCCCCCCCCTCAAAAAAACAATTTTTTTTTTTTTTTTTTTTTTTTTTTCCAAATTACATGGTGCAAAAATGGGTAACTACAAAAAAAAAAGTGTGCCACCTTTCCCCCCCCCCCCCCTTACAAGGAACCATTCTGGCTATTTTCAGCCTTATATTTCCCAAAGGTAGTTTTAGAAAATTGCAAAGTGAGAGGCTCACTAGAATTTTTAAAGGCACCCTCAAAAATGATTTATTCCCTGAAAAAGAACTCTTCTAGCTTGGCCATATCTTAACCCAATCTGCAGAAAATGTGGATGACTGCTGACTGTTGTTGCCTCATTCATAACAAACAGAATTTCAGGGATGGGTAGTTTAGATTCAGTATAACATCAGATGTCTGCATCTGAAAGCAAAGGAAATTCAAAGTGGTCTCTGTGTACTGTACAGAGATAAAGGCAGGGTAGGCGGTGGCAGAGGTCAAAAGCATTCACCTGGTGGAATGTGTTCTACAGGCTAGTATTCCTACAGCAGCCACAAAGACAATTTTGGCTGTCAGGTGAAGCTCTGTTCTCTCCAGCAGCCAATGGAGAAATGGCCATGGAGGCACAGCACCCCATGGCTGGATGGGAGTGGATGGTCCTACAGAGAAGTCACCAGCCCCCCTCAGCCTCCTCTCCAGGTGAATCAGAACATCCAGACAGACGAGTTCTTGTATTTTTTCCCCATTCTCTGCTTCTCCCAGGCCTGTTTTAAGCACACTATCTTGGCTACTTCTACCTTAGCTATGCAGCTTGAGAAAGATCTGCCTCCATCCACTGAACTGGAGAATCAAGGTGTTTTGCAAGGGGCTGAGCATAATCCTTTCTCTTCTGGTTTGTCATTGCAGATTCACCCGAGGACCTAACAAAAATTCTTCTGACGGCAGCCTGTGAAGGAACTCCCTGACAGATAGAGGGCAAAAATCTTTAAACTTTAAACCATCTCCAGCTTCTACAAGCCAAATGGTTTTTGTTTTGTTTTGTTTTTAATTTGCACTTTAACTCTGTACCAGAGGAAACTGCAATGGCTTTGCTTGTGTAGAGCCAAATCACACTAGGAAAACAATGAATCAGAGTGGACAGCAAAGAAGAAGAAAGAGAGAGAGAGAGAAGACATTGGCAAGCAGTTCGTCAGAAGCAAGGTTCATAATTCTGAAAGATGGACAATGGTCCCATACATGTGGATCGACCATTTTTATTTGTATCATTTACAAATATATAAATATATAAAATATTTTGAAATAAAGCCTGACTCATTGAGAAACTGAGCAGAACCACACTTTGCTGCAACTGCTTAATTTTGTTTTATTTAATAGCAAAGAGATAAGGGCTTTGGAGATCAAGAAGATAGTGGAAAGAGAATACGAACAAGGATAAAGACTGACAAAATAATTGGAACGCTGCTTCCTTTTCATTACAATGATAATTGTGTCAGCTGGATATTGAAGGGAATTCCATATTTTTTTTCATTTTCCTGTGTTCTGCAGTCTTTTTTTTTTTTTCCCCTTGCTCCTCGTGCAACATTTGCATGCTGGCTTTGCTTACATTAACCATACTTTATATTTAATTAATACGTGATGCTGGTTCTGACCTCTTCTGAGAACATCTACTGGAGCCAAGAGCAATCAGCTGTCCCACAGAGAAGAGAAAGGAGACTCTTAGTAATTAAACAGATACAACCTGCACTCTGAAGTTCATTGGACAACTTTTACTAGACTGCAGGTTCATTTATTTAAGAAGAAAAAGCACTGTACAGACAATTGTCTACAGACTTTGTATAGTTGATATAGACAAGCCTAGTAAAAAAGAAAAGAAAAACTGATTGCTAACTTTTATGGCTTCTGTTGTTTGCTCATGAGAATCATTTTATAATGTTTTAGGAAAAACTCAAATTTTGCACTGTTATGGGTTTCTCCCACTGTTTTATTTATTTTATTTATTTTTATTTTATTAAACAAATTTATATAGCCACCCCTCTACCAAAAGGAACTCTGACTTTTTCAGTCATAATGATAGCAATGTTAATAGAAAAGTCCCAGTTCAATATTAGATGAAAGAAAAGCAATGGGTTTAATTATCAGCACTTTTGAGAAGTTAAAAGCACAGTCATATGCACAGTAAAAGTGTATTTTAAAATATGGCTGGAATTGTCCCTAACTTTTCCTAAACAGAGACACAGTATTGCTTCTACCAGTCTGAACAGCATTGCATTTACTGCAAGTATGTGAAGCTTCTTTAGTATGGTTAAGATCAAGCACAGTATCTGATGAATAAAATAACAGTAGAAGGGATACTCTTAACTATAATATGCCTGCTATATCTGCAACAACTAGCTCCAGAGAAGATTAAGTTGGGGAGGAATTATTACAAAAAGTATCCTTTAGAAAAATGGGGATGGGCCCCACCAAACTTCCAAAGTGCTGTTTCAAATCACAGTTCAGAAGAGAAGTTTGGGCACTGGGGTTCTAAGCTTCATAAAAGAGAAAATGCCTGGCTTTCGCTCCTGTTCTCTCCCTTTAACAACTCTCATTGCAGATCTCCAAGCTGCTTTTGAATGAGTTGGATTAGTTTAAGAAATAGTCTGGAGAT